GGGGGGGGGAAGGGCCGGGGAAAAATTATTGAGAAAAAAAAGGTTGTGGGAAAGTTGAGAGGAAAAAGAGATCATCCGCCCCTTTATGGGCAGCCATCTTGAATTCTGTTCTCCTTGGCAAACCTCCGACTGCCTCATGGCACACAGCTGTGCCACGGAACACAGTTTAAGAAACACTGATCGACACACTTATTACATCATGAATATTTTAATTCTAATCCCTTTGCATCTTCTTGTGCCCGACAGTGAAATGACTCCTCAATTTAAACACGTACAGAAACGTGTACTGCTTTTGGAAGAACACTGCAGGTATGTGGAATGGGTGAAGACTCGATGACAGTTTGAAATATTTTGATTCCTTCTAAAATTCCTACCACACAAAAGAAATTCTAAACACACTTGAAAATTATTTTCTCCTCTACAAATTTACTGCGTGCTTATGGGTATTAATACTAAAATATCAACCTGCCTAGTGATTGAAGTAGCTCTATTTTTCCGAGGGTGTATCTACATCGCATTGTTATTTCGAGATAACTAGCGTTATTTCAAAATAACAACGCGAGCATCTATACCAGTGTGTCTTAAACTTTTTAAGACTAAGGAACTCCAAACAATAATTTTTTTTATGGGGAACACCAAGGATTTTTTTTGAGAGAAAAAAAGTTAGCTGGGGAAGAGCTGGGGGAAAAATTATTGAGAAAATAAAAGATCGCCGGAAAGTTATTGAGGGGAAAAAAAGGTCGCCCACCTCTTTATGTGCAGACATTTTGAATTCTGTTATCATTGGCAGACCTCCGACTGCCTCATGGCACACCGCTGTGCCACAGAACACAGTTGAGGAAACACTGACCTACACACTTATTACTTCATGAATATTTTACTTCTAATCCCTTTGCATCTTCTTGTGCCCGACAGTGAAATGACTCCTCAATTTAAAGGTCTACTGAAATGTGTACAGCTTTTGGAAGAACACTGCAGGTAAGTAGGGTGGGTGAAGCCTCAAAAACACTGTGAAATATTTTGATTCCTTCTAAAATTCCTACAACACAAAAGAAATTCTAAACACACTTGAAAATTATTTTCTCCTCTACAAATTTACTGCGTGCTTATGGGTATTAATACTAAAATATCAACCTGCCTAGTGACTGGAGTAGCTTTATTTCTCCGAGGGTGTGTCTACACTGCACTGTTATTTCGAAATAATAATGCCAACATCTACACAAATGTTTCTTAAACTTTTTAAGACTGAGGAACACCAAACAATAATTTTTTTAATGGGGAACACCAAAGCTATGTCTAGACTGGCAAGATTTAGCGCAAATACTCTAAACGCAAGAGTTTTTGCATTAGAGTATTTGAGTAAGAGAGCATCTATACTGGCATGTGCCTTTACGCAAAAGATTTGCTTTTGCACAAAAGCATCCGTGCCAGTGGAGACGCTCTCTTGTGCAAGAAAGCTCTGATGGCCATTTTAGTAATCGGTCTTTCTTGCGCAAAAAATTGATGTTACCTGTCTACACTGGCCTCTTGCCCAAGAACACTTGCTCAAGAGGACTTATCCCTAAGTGGGAGCGTCAGAGTATTTGCGCAAGAAGCACTGATTTCATACAGTAGAACGTCAGTGTTCTTGCGCAAATACTTGCAGCCAGTGTAGACAGGTGGCAAGATTTTGCGCAAAAGTGGCCGGTTTTTCACAAAAACTTTTCCATGTAGA